CCATGGTGGTGGAAAATGGGCACTGGTGGAGGGATGGGTATCTGATCATTGTATAATCAAACCCAAGCACAAAAAAATTGTAAGTCTACAACTGTACCCCATGGTGTTTCACTAATAATAAAAAAAAGATAGTCCCATTTGTCTATCTCTGTTTTCACTTGCTCGGCCAGTGGCGTGACATCTTTGAAGATACCATTAGCTTCAATATCATGGAGAGTTTTGCCGACTTTGTCTTCAATAAACATTATGGATTCTGGTCTGATGTTGAGGTCATAAATCCATTTCGATCTTACTTTTTTGCATGGTGTTAGGCAGAGGTCTGAGCCCACTTTTTTGCATGTGGCCGTCCAATTTTGCCAGCACAGTTCATTAAAGAGGCTTTCCCTGCTCCATTTCACTTTTCTTGCCCTCTTATCAAAGATTAGATGATTATATGTTTGGGAGGAAATGTCAGTATATTCAACTCTGTTCCATTGCCAAAATGGGGATAGAGGGGACTTTCCTCAATATAGTTAAAGCCATCTACCACAAACCTACAGGAAACATCATCCTCAATGGGGAAAAACTGAGACCCTTCCCCCTAAGGTCAGGGACGAGACAAGGATGCCCACTCTCTCCACTACTGTTCAATATAGTACTGGAAGTATTTGCAATAGCGATTAGCCAAGAAAAGATATTAAGGGCATCCAGATAGGGAAAGAAGAAATTAAGCTCTCACTATTCACAGATGACATGATACTATACTTAGAGAACCCTAAAACCTCTACCAAGAAACTCCTAGAAACAATAGGCTTGTATAGAAAAGTGGCAAGCTATAAAATCAATACCCAAAAATCCATGGCATTCCTATATGCAAATAGTGAAAGAGAAGAAAGTGACATCAAGAAAACAATCCCATTCACAATTGTGCCCCAGAAAATCAAGTATCTAGGAATCAGCTTATCTAAGGAAGTAAAGGACCTGTACAAAGAAAACTACAAAACGCTACTTCAGGAAATAAAAGAGGACACGAGGAAATGGAAAAATATCCCCTGTTCATGGATGGGAAGAATCAACATCATCAAAATGGCAATACTTCCCGAAGCACTGTACAAATTCAATGCAATCCCTATAAGGATACCCATGACATTCTTCAAAGAAATGGAGCAAACACTCCTGAAATTTATATGGAACAATAAGCCCCCACAAATAGTTAAATCAATTCTTGGGAAAAAGAAAATGGGAGGAATCAACCTCCCTAACTTCAAACTCTACTACAAGGCAGTAATAATTAAAACAGTATGGTACTGGAACAAAAGCAGAGCAGCATCATTTCTTATATATATCCCATGCTGGGACCACTCTCCAAACGTCCGAATGGGCCTCATGCATGAAAGAACTGGCAAAGGAACACAGGCATGTGGGTCCTGGGGCTGAGGTCTCCAAGCCTACTCGGATTGGGACTGGGCCTTCTCCACCCAGACCCCCCATCTTCCAGTAGGTAGGCATCACACCCACCAGGTGTTGACAACACCAGGTTGGTCACATCAACGCAGAGACTACAAAACCAAGCTCCCGGAAGCGCGGCCGCATTCGCAGCCATGCGACATCTTATTATCTTTCCTTTGGAGAACCTGGCAGGCTACAAAAAGTATCCTGCCCACACGACAGAGTCTGGCAAACTTCCCGTGTCGTACTAAATATGCCAAATACCAGTAACAATGATGGATCTCATTCTTCTAATCCTGAAAGAGCATTGAAATGGCTCTTTTTAAATCTCAGGGCTAGGTAGAAGGAGACGCTACTGGTGCCTGCTCGAGACAATTGATGAACAACAGGATGATCGTGATCGTGATATATATATATATATATATATATACATATATATATATTTCCTATAGTGAGAAGCAGTGCCTGATGCAGTTCGTGCTCAATAAATTGTTCTTGAATGGATGAATAAAAGATAATGAATTATGCCAATCTTCATGAATTTATTATCTACTTGAGAAGACACACAAACATGCCAAAAAATAAATGATGTTTCCTATCATTCTATTCATAATTAGTTTTTAACTCCATGAATTTATTATTGCTATTAGTCTTACAGTATTTATAATAAGTCCTAAAGTTGATCAGAAATATTCATTATAGGGGCTGGAAAAGTATCTGAGCAATAGAGCACTTTTCCCTATATGGTTGAGGCCCTGTATTCAATCGCTAGCACCACACACAAAAAAATTGTTCTATCTGCAGTTCTGTTGATGTTACTGTCTCAGGCTTGCTCCCTAACTCTGCCTGATGTATTCATCTCCTCAGTAGTTGATGAACTCCTATTCATTCTTCAAGACCCAGAAGAAAAGTCACTTTCTCCTGGAGGTCATCCACAATTTCCTGGCCCTGCTACATATCCAATTGAAACATATCTCAAGTATAGAATGCAAGTAAACATTCTTCTGGATCTCTTCCCTGATAGAATGAGATGCCAGAGGCAGAAATAGCTTTCTTTCTAGGGAAAAAAGGAAATGTTTTCTAGGGAAGAAATAAAGGAAATAGTTCCTTTCTTCCCTGGCGCTCAACATAGCAGGTGTTCAGGAATTGCTTGCATAATGAATTGACACCTCACAGGTTAGGGAGTAAGGAGATAGTTCTGACACTGACTGGGAGCACATATCTGAAGTTAAGAGTGTGCTAAAGGGGTATGGTTCCTGTACCAGCAGCACTGGTGTCATCTGCAGCTTGCTGGAAATGCAGCTTCTCAAGGCTGGCTGGCTATTGGCTTGGAGTAATAGGAAGAACTAGGGGAATGAGTCGAATCTTCCAGAATGGTTTTCAGAATTGAAGTGAGAGCCAACTCCCTGATGCACATGCATGTTTCAAATTTGCAAACATCCCTTTGGTTAAAGCAAGCCATCGGGTTAATTCACATCCGAGGACAGAGGAGCAGACTCCACTCTGAATGGGAATAAAGGAATTTGTGATGAATTCTTGTATATGTGTATATAAATTTCTTAAATATTTTAATAAAACTTGCTTTGTTTTGCAACTGAAATAAAAGGTGGGGGAGGGTGGAAGGAAGAAAGAAATGTAGTTTTCCAGAGCCCACTTCAAACCTGCGTGATTTACATGCATGACCAAGTTTAAGAAGCACAGTTTTTAGAGGCTTCATTGAGTCCCATGATACACAGGTAAGGAATGACCTTGGGAGTCACCCCATCAAGAGAATGAGGACATCAAACAGGCCTCAAACAGTTCAAGGATTGGTCTCTAATATTCTCTAAAGGCACCTGTTTTCCTTATGACCAAGGTCTGAGTTCAAATTCAATCCATTCTTTAAAATATTTCATTTTGTTTATCATACTTTAGGTAGTTACTAATATGTTAAATTTTATGGTATTAATATTGAAAATTATTGTACCACCCACCATCACCAAAGTGTTCATGCTTTCCGCCATTGTGCCTCTGTCTCTTCTAGTCTGGTCTTCTTTCCTGACCTCCCATTACCCTTGGTAACTGATTTTCTACTCCAATAATAAGTGTTTTCCTCTCTGTATCCAGTATATGAGTTAGACCAACTGGTATTTGTCTTTCTCCATCTGACTTATTTCTCTTAAAATAACACTCTCCATCTCCATCTGCATTATCATGCAAACAAAATTATTTTTTTTCTTTTCTTCCAGCTGAATAGTATTCCATTGTGTGCACATATAGGCATATAAGTAAGCATGTATATATCTCAGAACTTTTTGATCCATTCATATATAGTGGACAATTGGTTATTTATATATTAGCTATTGTAATGCAGTAGACATAGGTAAGCATATAACCTTTTAAATAAATATTTTTGTGTTTAGGGATAGGTATCAAGGATTGGAATCTGTATTGTATGGGGATTTTAGTCTTTTTTTTCTTCTTGCGAAATCTCCAGTGTTCCACAGAGGTGAATTCAAGCCACAGAGCACAAATTACTCACTGCCTTCAGGGAAAATACTGTTTGCCAATGAATTTTCTCCATGGCTTTGTGGCTAATTAGACATGGAGAAAGGATAGTGAGCCATTATTGGACTCAAAGTTCAAAACGAACAGGACCCTGGCTGACAACACTGCGGGAGTCAAGCAATTAAGGGAACCCAAAGGATCCTGTCCACCTGCCCCGCCCTACCCTCGTGGGCAAGAGATTTATTTCCAGGCTCTTATATAACAAGGCAGTATGGATACAGCCTGACGCTTCTGAGTCCTGTAGATGTAAGTGGACAGATAGGGTCTGCAAGGTGACCAAGAGAGACTGTCCGAAGGGTGAAGCAGTGGAGACAAAGTGTTTTGGAGTGTGGCCAAGGGACTGTTTTCTCCCAAATCAGGAGAGATGGAAAGAATGAAAGTCAGACAAGACCGGAGTTTTGTCTGCCACTAGTGCCTTCACAAAGACATCCAAACCACAAATACATCCAAATGTGAGGGCAATAGGAGTTTGGATTACTGTGGTAACAAGTGGATAGTAGAGTGGCGACTGAGACAGGCGTCCTTTGCTTCAGGCTCTCAGCCCTTTCTGGCAACTTGCCCCATTGCTTCTTTTCACCCCCCAGTCTTCCCCAGGGGCTCCCTCTCACACGAAGTGGGTCGTGGTAAGTTCGAACTGGAATCATGCTTACAAAGCAATGACTAAGGGATGCCTGAACTTGGGAAGAACCTTGCTCCTCTTGGTGTTACTCGGTGTCCCGGGAGTAAGCAATCCCGGCACTGGGAGAAGTCAGCCCTAGCGGCCAAGCTTCCAGGGCTCGAACGCAATCCTGCTGGAGGGATGTTGACAGAAAAATGCTGTTGGAAGGCCAAGGGATGGTGACTCCTGGGAGGGACTCTGGGACGCCGCAGGTGACCTTTCGTCCCTGGCGCCGGCTCAGGCCGGGGCGGAGGGGCCGCGGGCGGGGGAGGTGGGCTGGCGCTGGCCGGGTAGGCGCGTCAGCAGGCGGGCGGGGCTCTGCGCCCTGGAGCCCGGGGCGGGCAATATAGCGGCGGGGCTCTGGCGACAGCGCGGGGCAGCTCGGCAGGAGGGGGCAGAGACTCAGACACCGGAGCTGCGGGCACACGAGCGACTCGGAGCGGGCTGAGCACCATGAGCAGCAAATGCGATGTGGTCGTGGTGGGGGGCGGCATCTCAGGTCAGTGGCGCCCTCTCCATCCTCCTTCCGCGCAGTGACCCGTGGCCCCCTGGAAGGCTAACTTGGGGCAGGGACTGGGGGTGTGTGTTCCCTGGAGCACATGGACTTCCGCTCTACCCGCGGGATTATTTAACCCGATCGAGTCAGGCGCTCGGAACCCTCCGTGGGCTGTGGCTGGGGTGCGGGGAAGTGGGAAGGTGGGGGGAGGCAGGAGTTGGGTGCGCAGGATTCTGTGAGCCCTTGAACAGAAGCCCCAATTGAAGTCTGCTCACTTCGAACTCCCCTGGAGAACTGCCAAGGCTGGATTTGACGGAAATCTTTGAAGCAAAGGAAAGGGGCAAGGGAGGAGAGCAACTTCAAGGGTAGAGCAAAACACAGCCCAATAAGTCAGTTATTTTTGTCCCAACCTGACCTGGATGATCCACGATCTTGTTTGGAGCAGCTGAGGCCTCACCTTTCTCTCCTGGGAACAGGAAAACGATCAGGCCCGGGAACAAAGAGAAGGGCTTTGACCCCTGGGCCATCCATTGCCAAAGACCCCCTTGCCGCTATTCTCTACAGTTCTGTGTACATGGGGCTGCAGTGTACATGTACACAGCGGGGCATGGGGTGCTAGACCTTCTTGGCAAATGCCTCTTCTGCCATTCTCTGCTCCCTGGTGCATTGTGGCCAAGACAGCAAGTAGAGTTGTGATGGAGAAACTGGACCCAATGGGTTTATGGGAACAGAGATTACCCTCACACTATGTATGTGTGGGTGTATTTGGGGGTGGGGCATGAGTGGTGGTGGTCAAGGGAAGTGGAGGCTGGATTTTATGGATGGATCTCTCAAACCAGAATCCTGGAGGAGGATTGTGGGGATGTCACCAGGGAAAACCCACTCTCTGAGGACAGTCAGGTTGCTCTTAGGAGAGTGATGGTGGCACTTCTCTCAGCAAAGCTTGTTTAACAGCTCTCTGGGATTGCTTTGGCCAACTCCCAAAGTCACTTGATGGTTGAGAAATAATTTGGATACCTCCCAAACCCCAAACATGGATATGTTGTCTACAGCTTGTTCAACCAGGATCTAGGAGCAGGTTCTGCCTTGTTCCTGTGAGGGCAAAGGTACTAGGGCTCTGCCTGGTGAGGAAATCAAGGCGCTGGATGTTGGATGCTGACCGTGCTCCTGTGCTATTTTCTTCTCTTCAGCCCTACTCACCTTTGGGTTAGATCTCAGGCTACACTTTCTATTTATCTGGACCTCCTGAGCTCTCCTATACCAGGCTTTGTGCCCCATGCTGTAGTTATTTAAGATACTTAAGCAGAGCACCCAGTCCAGGTGGGCTAAGGTTCTATACATTCAGTTTTCTTTCAGCGGAACGTGAATTTAGAAGGTTATCTACCGAGGTGTTTTCAAAAAGTTTTTGCTTAGTGCATCTTGATGCTGTCTTCTATAGAAACCCATAATATGGAAGCTGGAAGTTCTGTTTCAAGTCTCCAAAGTGTTTTGTATTGCACTTTGGCCTCAAATTCTTCTATTTTCCCCTTTATTTTGTCCTTTCTGAGCCATACTCCAGATCAAGCTCACCAAAATTATTATGGTGAAAAATTCTATTAAGAATTTGTCCAGATTTTACAAGCAGCAGCAAAGATCTTTTAACCTCCAAAGTTGGAAAACAAGTTATACTAACTGTATTTCTGAAGATCATTCTATGGAATAAGCATTGTTATATGTTACAAGAAGAGTTCCAAAGCCTTACTCAATTGTTTTACCTGGTACATTGATGATAACAAATTAGTCATAGCTAGATTACAGGGTCATTATGAAAGACAAGGGAAATAATGTGTGAAAATAACTTTGTGAAGTCTGACAAATAGCACAAAGTCCTATGAGTAGCCCTAGTTAAACAGTGGACATCAGGTTAGTCTGGTAAAGGGATGCATAATTGTATCACATTGTTTCTGCCTTATATTTCTCAATCTGGAAGGAAGATGAGATACCTATATAGATATTGGAGGTGCTACAAGAGTGGCCCACTCATGAATTTGTTATTTATTAATTCAGTGAACAATGATTTCCTGTTCCACATCTTATCCTGAAGGAAATAAAATAAACTATACAGGGTACTGCCCCAGGCATGCTCTTTAGCTAATGTGGGAGAGAGAGTCATAAAAATTTAGTGCTAATGACCCATGATGGATGTTTTTGTAGTACAGGCAGGCACAGAGTTACAAAGTTCTAAGTTGATTCAAATGTCAACCTTTGCCTGAGAAAATCTGGGTAGGCATTATAGAAGAGGTGATATTTGATGACAGTCAAAGGGTGAATATGCATTTACCAGGAGAATAGGTGAAGAAAGTTCTTTGATTTATTTTACTTTTGGTTTTTGAGCTACATCCAGTGGTGCTCAAAGCTTATTCCTGGTTCTATGCTCAAGAGTCACTTCTGGCAGTATTCTGGGGACCGATCATGTATGGTGATGAGGATAGAAATAGAATCAGACCTGTTGTGATTAAGGTAGATGCCTTAACCTGTAGCATCTCTCCTACTCCTGAGGAAAGCATTTTAAGCTAAGGAACAGTTTTATAAAATCATAAGCTTATAAAGGAACACGGAAGCATATTTGGGAAACCTTAAATGGGGAGGGTGCAGGTGGGGTCTGGTTGGTGGAAGACCAAGTTATAAAGATGCAATGTGATAAATTCTGAGGAGCTTTGTGGAGTATGTTGTCCACAAATGCTCTAATTCATTATATGGTCAAGGGGTTTCTCATTTATGGATGACATGTCAAGGGACAGGAAGGGTGTTCACAAAAAGAAAGATGGAAAGAGAAGAGGAAGAGATGGTTTCGGGGAGGAGGATGGGAAACCTCTTGTTGGAGGTGCTGAAAGGATACCCCAGTTTAGCAGTAAGAAACAGGACAATAGGTTGGATTTGCAGATGTGTGGGCCAGAAATTTTTGTTCAACTCACCGGAAGCAGACATTCCAGAGGCCAGAGTGATAGTACAACAGGTAGGGTGATTTCCTTGGATGTGGCAAAGCTGGATTCGATTCCTGGCATTACAAATGGTTCCCAGAACACCTCCAGGAGTGAGTCCTGAGTGCAGGACCAGGAGTAACCCCTGAACATTGCCAGGAGGTGTGACCCTAAAACAAGAAAAAACACAAAATGACCCAAACCGAAAGTGTGGAGAAGGCCCAGGACAGAACTGGAAAAGATGCTTTTTAACTCTTCCTCAGAAAGTAACAGATTTCACTTATTCTCTGCAGTCTGAAAAGGGAGATGAGGACTCTGAGACTAATACACCCACTTCATTAACCTTATCATTTTATTTATTCATCTGCTTATTTATTTTGTGGTGTTCAGAGATTATTACTCCTAGCTCTGGTCTCAGGTATCATTCTTGATGGGATTGGGGGACCATCTGAGGTACCAGGAATTGAACTTAGGTCAGCTACATGCAAGACAAGCACCATCAAGGCAACCATTGCTCTGGCTCCATGTATTTTTGCTCGACTTTCTTTCCCTAAACTTCTTTAATCTCTTTGAATACCTTGTCTTTTGTAATCAGTTTTGAATTATTCAGTTAGTAGCATCATTACTAGTTCTCCACTAATCTGCAAGCCTCTGGAACCTGGAGAAGCTTCTGTTTTATAACCTTACTCCCAGCTCTAGAGCTCAACCAGGTCCAGTTAACCCTTAACACATGTATTGAATTCATGAACTTTAACTTTCCATCAATGAAGTAGCAATCAATTGGGTCCAAATTTCACATCTATTTACTTCTAACCTGTTTGCTTTTCCTGCCAACATCATAATAGAAAACTCAGAATTTCAGAATGAGTAGGTAACTGATATGGTGATTTATATTTAAGAGTGTCTGCATTTCACTGTGAGTTTTAAATGCTGTTAATTATTAAACTTGGGACATTCTGGAATTATCTGATAACATTTAAAGCTGTCAGCAAATGTTAATCACTCCCTTTGGGATCACTGGAGATGAATTGGGGGTACACTGGTTAATGTATAACTTTTTTATGATGTTAAAAAATTTCCAAGGCAATTGTTGAATAATTTACTTTATAAAGGTGGGTGGCATATAAATTAAATGCTTTTCTCTCATCCAAGGAATAGGTTATCTTTGAAGACGTGGAAGCATAATGGCATTTTCAACATGTAGCTAGCAGTAGCTTGTTGCTTCTGTCCAAAGTCTCAGCGTTTAGTGTTTGGTTTGATGGCACCATGGAAACCATCTTGGCTGATTCTGACGTAACTTGCTAAATCTTCAAAAGAAAGCCTTGAAACAGAAAGGAAAGGAAGGAGAAAGTTTTTCAAGGCCCGTGAATGGCGATTTTGCCAACTGTGGGCAACAGGCTAAGATCTTGGCTAAGATTGTGAAAGAGCAGGAATCAAACTTGCATTTTACAGTGAACAACTAGGAGATGGTCTGTGTGGCCCAGGAGTGATGCTGTAGGTTGGTGGGGCTGACCTAGTCAGGAAATAGAAGTGACATGACACAAGGGAACACCACCAGTTGGGGGATACAGTAGGCAACTGTCATCCATGAGTTAATGGCAAAGTGTCCTTCATATCTTTGATGAAGAAATATCCCTGAACTCCTAAAACCGACCTGTAACTGTTCTAAAAATAAAATTTGTGTAGCAGGGGCTGAAAATTTATACCTCCCTCTTATGGAGACAATAGAGAGATGAAAATAGCACATTGTACTGAGTCAGACTTTTTGTGAATCTCATTTCTTAAATTTACCTATTGTGCAATCTTAAAAGTTTCATCACCCCCTTGTTATTCAGCTGTTTCATATTTTAAAAATTATTATTATAACACCATGATTTACAAAAAAAAGTTTTCATGATACAATTGTTTCAGGCATTCAATGTTCTAACAACAGTCTCAACATCAGTGTGTTTTTCCTTCCACAAGTATCCCCAGTTCCCCACCCTTAGCAAGTTGAGGAAGTGGTTAGTAGTAGTCTGTGCATATACATGCATTGACATACAC